CTCTCTCTCTCTCTCTCTCTCTCTCTCTCTCTCTCTCTCTCTCTCTCTCTCTCTCTCTCTCTCTCTCTCTATTCCATTGAAATTAAGAATTTATAGAAAATGCAACACAAAAAGAGGATCCATTGAATTGAATGTGGAATTCTTTACGTACAGAATCCGAGAGTGTATTTACTTTATTGAAGTTCATTGTATTAAAAACACTATTTGTTCACACGATTTAAAAAACAACATTACATTTGACTTGACTTTTGATTTGAAGAATTTATATCTTTTTGATTTGATTGAAGCGTTCGTCTAGTTTTAGTTCAGGGAATAATACAAAACTCGGTCTCAAAGTAATAGTTAAACAGTAAGTGTGATTCTGGCACAGAATATTCTGGTGAATAAAATATAATATATACATTATATATGCCGTATATTTCATGTATACTGTATATCAATGTGTGAGGAAATCGCATTTATACGGTATATATTACCACGTTAAGTCGATTTTCCACTCAATAAAATGAGATAATCATAATAATAGAGATTGTATTTTATTGTAATATTTTCATTCAGTGAAAAAAATACTTCGTTTAAAAAAGTATATCTAATATTAGCCCATAAATCGTATCCATAAAATTAAAACTCAATGCATTGTTAACTAAATCATAATATTGTAATGCATTTCTTATCTATACTTTTCACAGTGTTATCGATTGAATTATATTAATAGAAATGATATGTCATTATTATAGGCTTATTAATAAACTATTCAATAATTTAATGCATAATAATGTGCGAAATAAAATGTATAACTGATTGATTGTGTCACGCCTTCAATGCTATAACACATCTGTTTTTATCACTGCATTACATAATCAATACGTTTTTTGACAATAATTCAAAGTATTTTTAGGTATTTTGTATATCATATAAAATTTATAAATAGTAGTAAATTCCTCATTCTCATTATCACCAAGTAGTATATTTATAATTACAAGTCTAGCTTCCATCAGCACCTGTAGTCCGACCAATTATTTTATTTAATTAAAGTCATTAAAAATTGTAAATAAGACACAATACCTGACATGCATTATAATATTTTATATCACAAATTAAACTCGTGTTTTTAAATAAGAATTTCAATTATAAATTATAAGAATAATAATTTTTTATTATTATGTGTTTATTGGCATGAAATGTTGATTTAATATCATGTGATAACCTCCAACTTCAGTACATCACAACTATCACCGCATCTGATCCAAGATCTCTGAAGATCGAAATCATAGTTTGTAAATATTTTGATTTTTTATTAAATTATTAAACACATCTAGATTAATATATAAATTATTCGTTTGCATAGAGATATACTGCATATAATTAAAGTGCCTGTCATTCAATGTATTGAAATATTAATTAGATTTTAATATAAATGGTTTTTGAAGAGATTTTTTCCGGGATTAAAACCATTAAAGACCAGAAAAATATTTGCCTAAAAGTTAATACAATCTAAACTAATCATTAATAACTATTCACACGAAATCATAAATAAGTGATTTTATATATAATATAACAAACATATTGTAATCGTAGGTAAAAAACATGTAAACCAATAATTTGTGTCACTTTTTTGTGCTGAATTCGCCACAAAATTCAATGCAATATTCTTTAATTAAACTAATCGTTAGGTTTTGGGCAAAATTTAATGCAAATTCTTATCATTAGAGCAGAAAGAGAAATATAATTAATAAAATACTTTATGTATAAATTAATTATTATTTCAATACAAATGAATTCAGTAATTGTGATGAGAAATAGACGTTATATTATTGTCTATGCATTCAATTAGTGATTAAAATAATTAGAAAAAACTATATGTTTTAACATTTACTTTACTTTAGACATGATTTTTGTTTTGCGGAAATTGAAATATAATATTCTCATTCAATGTTTTAAATAAAAATTTAAAATTCATATTTTTTCAGATATTTTATAAATTATAATACATTATTGAGTTATCTATAATCTTGTATTAGATCGTGGTAAACTTAGTGATTAAATTAATGAGCAAAATATATTATTACTTTGGATCTCTCTCTCTCTCTCTCTCTCTCTCTCTTATCATACATTTAGACAATTGAATCGCCAAAAAACTAAACAAATAAACCAATTCTTGACAATTAATTACATCTAATAACAAAGAAAGAGACAAAAACTTTATGGTAAATATTCTCTTAAAACTCTTAGTCTCTCTCTCTCTGCCTTATATTTAATGATGAGTTGATTGAAAATAACGGTTACATTAGATATCCTTTTTGCTACAAATTTGTAATTAAAATTGAATTCTCTGAAGTAATCAATGGATATTATTTTGTCAAAACATATTATTAATATAACTTTATTGAAGAAATTAAATCTCGTTTAGTATTCAAGTCTCGAAAATCTATCTCTCATTTATTTCTCATCCCTTTTCTACTAATATATTCAATGAATTTTAGTGCAACTTTTAGTACACATTATTATCACATCAAATACCGGTAATAATAATATAATAGAAATAACATATGATTGAAAAATCAATAATAAGTTATTTCTAGTAAGAAATATGCGTTTGAAAAGTCAAAACACAATATTTTTTAATACAATTTGAATGACAAGACTATTCATAAGCATTTCATTATAACTACTAATCAATGTTTTCGTACAAAAATATTCTGTATATTCTGGTCGAGGAATAGACTTCTCGATAAATCAATTTTTATTACAACTAAATATCATTGTTATTAATATGTTTGATATATTGAGACATTGGTTTCTATGGACTAATGAAATGTCTTTAACTTGAAAAACAAATTTCATATCATTTTCCGACACATATTGCATATCAGTATTTATTTTATTTGTTTTGTATTATTTATCGTTTGTCTCAATTGTCTCCTAATCTAATTGATAGCCATTAATGAGAGACAGGAATATAGGAAACAAATGATATGAATTCAACTAAATCTCCGATCCATTCATTAGTGACTAAAAATAACAATACATTTTTGAATCACAAATTATCAATTAGTACAACACAAAAGTCTACACAATCTCAAAACTTTCTCCAATTATTAACATTTCAATGGCTTTGGAGTAAAAAAACAAAAAATTTACACAAAAGGAGTATTGATTCAAACACTGTTGAATGAGTTTCTGTATTATAAATCGTGTATTTATTATAGTCCTAAATGAGTACTTTCTTCGGGCGATACTTTACGCCCGAAAACACATATATCTTATTAGCGGTTCTGCGATAGAGATATTGTCACCATTTGCTCGCAGATAATTGTTCACATAATCCCGTAATATATCATTATATAAATAGATTTAATAATAAGAATCTCTTATTTATTGTCACTTTTCATACACAGAATATTCTTACGCTTCTCTATTGAGTGGGAATTCATTAATTTATTTTCTTAATTCCACTCCGATATTGATTTCTCCACAGTTTAGTATGAATTCGTGTTTCTTAGGGATTAGTGGGACACAAGTGCTGACACTTCGGGTGAATCTGAACTTTTGTACCAAACATACGACGGCTGTCTTGGCCTCCATCAGACCGAACCTCATTCCCACACAATTTCGGGGTCCGATTCCGAACGGCATGTATGAGTGCGGCGCTAATTGGTCGCGATTTTCGGGCAAAAACCTTTCGGGATCCCAGCGGTCGGGGTTCGGGTAATAGTCGGCGTTTCGGTGTATACTTTGCACGTCCAGATTGACCATCATGCCCTTTGGGATTGTGATCCCGGTGTCACCTATAAAATGAGTATTAAAACACATTTAATATACAACAAATCGTGGTAAACATGTGTATACGAAGACCTAGTTTATAATCCTCGTTTGCCATCCGGAATAACACGACTAACGGGTTGTAAAGTCTGAGTGTTTCTGCGACACAGGCCTCCAAATACGGCATTTTTGCTATACTCTCGTAATCGTACTTTCCGTCGAAAGACATGACTTCTTCGTACAGTTTTTGCTGACATTTATAATTCAATGCCAACGAATAGGACAGATATGAGAGAAGTGATGCCGTCGTCTCATAACCGGCCACAAGGAATAGGACTGTATTGGCGAGAATGTCATCCTCTGTCAGCTCTCCCTTTAGTTTTATTGAATTCATTGGTTTTTCATCTCTCTGTCCGTAAATGCGTTCCGTATCGTCCGGTTCTTCAGCCGAGTTGCCGGTGATGTGGCTGTTGTTGTCCGCCGTCTTATTCAACGCATTTACCATCAGTTGTAAGTAATCGTTGTGTTTACTCCTATTAGCCATCGATTTGCGGTTCGCTATCATAGATGTGAGCTATTTATGTGAAGAATAATGTTTAAAACTTTTGTGTTTTAAATACAAAACACAATCAGTTTTCGCACAAACCGCTGAGCGAAAGAAGTTCTCCACTTTAGGATCAGTTGACTTGAATTGTGTCCACTCGAGTACTTTCGGGAATGTCTTCATCAACAGGAAGAAGAGAAATACTCGCCAATTATGGCGAAACACTTTCTCCGCGCAGACAATGAATTCACTTTTTTTGGATCAGTTGACTTGAATTGTGTCCACTCGAGTACTTTCGGGAATGTCTTCATCAACAGGAAGAAGAGAAATACTCGCCAATTATGGCGAAACACTTTCTCCGCGCAGACAATGAATTCACTTTTTTCGGTCTCATTATAAGTGTCTGTTTTGGTGCCGAAAGCGCACGAAGCGATCACATCCATAGTCAGCCCTCCAAACAGTTTCTTCACTTCCAACTCATTCTTGTGTCCATTCATTGTCTTCTTCGTGAACTCTTCCTCCAATCTCTTCACGCATTCAATTATAATGGTATGCATTGAACGCATTTTTCCACTCGAAAACGTCGGGCTTATCTGTCGGCAGATTAATGATTGAAATAACTTTTTATTTTGACTAAAAAATCATTAATAATGTGTTTTTTATTCAACAAAAATTTGATGCAGAATATGATAATAATGTGCTTAAAAAGCGGATTCTTTTTAATGAGTTTTCACTAGTAATTAACGGTTTTTGTGTGTATTTTATACCATATTTGACTCACTATTGATCGCAATAATTTCCAATCGTTTCCATTGACGTTAAACAGCGAGCGATCATTAATGGGATCACCGGTTAGAAAGTTGTGTCGATCCGAGAATTTATGAAAATCTGTGACCAATATCTTGTTGACGAGCTCCGGCTCCGCCACCACTAGTATAGGCTCAGTACCCATAAATTGTCTGCAAATATATACCATATTTATCATAAGTTGTGGTTATTTATTGGTCCAGATTTAGGCGTTAAAACCCGTGAATCTTTCCATATGTGTCGGTGTTGTGAATCGTGAGCTCTGGGAATGATTTGAAGAATTGTTGATATATTGTGCCAAAGAATATGACAGGTTTTGGGCCATCAATTCCTCGAGATGTCCAGTATTTGAAATTACGGCTCAAATATCTGTGTTTATAAGTTTAAAATGCATTTCTTTGGGTATAAATCAAAAGGGATTTTGTATTTATGTGACAATATTTAATACCGATTTCTACTGAATTTATTTATTTTTAACTTTTTATATAAGAGAATTTGATTATAATAACGATAAATAATATTTGTTTACATACACTATAAATGTCTGATGTAAATTAAATTTTGTTTTAAACTAGTAATTAATATTTAAAAATACTTACAAATATACGGCTAAACAAATTGAGCCCAAAATTATTACTACATTTAACGCAAACATTTTCTACTTTATTAACAAACACTAAATTTCTAATAAAATTAAAAACAATTCAAATGATTATTATTAACTTAAGTTGTTTTTACATTAAAAGCCTTTACAAAAAATCTATTAATATAAATATAATCAGTGATTGTAAGTGTTTGGCTGATTTGTTTGATTATCACATTTGAAGGACATCTCTTCAGACAACCACTTATAGCACTCAAAATGTCATTCAGTTTATTATTTTATAAATTATATTTACAAATATTGCATTATAGAGTCTACCAAGAGAGATAAATTAAACTAGATCTTTCTTTCCATTTTCTAATTAAGAAATTTATTAATATTTTAAAAGTTATGCTTAAAAACAAGTGTGAATTTTGAAGCAAAAAATTAACGTCAAAAACAGATACAAAGTAATAATGAAAATAAAGAAAAACATAAGAATATTCTGTAAAAACGGCAAATGACGTGAATTTTAGTTTTTAATGTTATATAAACACAGTGTTTGAAACACTGTATCGGATGTTATATTCAGTATATTTCGCAATAAACACTATTTTTACGTAAACTAAACTAACATTTTATGTAAATTTACCAAAAAACTGCATTTCACAACATATTTCATGTCGTATTTTAATGAATATATTAAATAAGATCAAAGGGAAGAAAATTCCTATGACATTTTAGACCAGAAAAAATGTATATATAATTGCATGAAAAATTTGCACGCCTTTTAAAGAGACACAAAATAATGAAACCCATTATAATATCACATAAAAATGCAATAAATTCGTGGTATTATATTAACGATAACCACTGCCGCCCACACCATAATTACCAGCGATATAACCCTGTATTAAGTTAAGGCATCGCTCGTAGAAAATCGGCTCTAAATATAGCAATGAATGAATGATTGAATTGAATTCTATGAGAATATTGAATAAAAAAGTTTATTGATTTAGAAAGTGGTTACGAATTGAATGCAAAATCATTGTTAAATTTTTTTTTGGTTGAAAATTGTCATTATGTTAGATAATAGAGAGATGAGAAAAAATTGTTAAAACCATAGTGGTATTAGACACGATTGATATGTCATATAACCTGATGACAATCCCACCCCTATTCGTGTATCACTCAATTCCTAGACATATAAAATGTGTATTATTTTAAATTTGTTTTTATATATGTCTGTCCATCCGATGTATTAGAGTTAATGTTATATAAAATAAACGAAATATATATTATGCTATTCTTTATGTAGGAGTTTATTGAGTGGTTCTTTCTCCTCAAGAATATACGTTAGAGAAAGAGAGAGAGAGAGAGAGAGAGAGAGAGGAATTTTTTCTCGTTTTCGTTTATGAATTATGTATGCATTTCTGTTTGAGAAGTGATTTCCAAATGGAGAAGAATATGATCAACAAAATCAATAATTCGTTAGGCGTTTGACTCCTCCGAAAAGGGACTTCAATTCATTGGAGATTTATATATCAAATGGTTATTAACATTGGATTTATATTTTATCACTCGTTTTCCACTCTAAAACTTGATGTTAAGTTTAAAGATCAACAGTTACTACAGTTTTGTTGAGTTAAAACTGGTATTAACTGATAAATACTGACAAATATTTAACTAAAATATATAATTTAATTAATAAATTGTCATTCAAAGCAATACAGTATATAAGACACACGTATTTAACTTTTAATTTAATCAGAAAAATATAGTGAATGTATTTTATTTGAGTCAACATATATTTTATTGTTTTAGATTTTAGATTGCATTTCAGATTGCAAGTAGAAAATGGATAAAAGTTCAGTAAAACCTATACTGTATTGATATTTATATCACTAAAACATCTCTCACTTTATTGAATATTCTTCTTGAATATAAAACACTCGCTAAAAAAACACAAAAATTTTTAGGACTATTTTTCTTTAGAGACTATACTTTTCAGGGAAAGTAAAAGTCGTGTCATATTCTTTCGCTTCCCTTTATTTCATATCATTAAATAAAATCCAATAAACAAAGAAAGAGACAAAAACTTTATGGTAAATATTCTCTTAAAACTCTTAGTTTCTCTCTCTCTCTCTCTCTCTTTAAAATACTTCACAGAAACGTATTTATTATTCAATAATTTAAATATTCAATTCACGAGTTTCTATTGAGACACACATACAGTAGTATTAAATGACAGATAGATATTATATTTAATAATAATGTATTCCTAAAACACATAAAATATGTCCAAAGAATATGTTTCTAATTGTCAGATACGATAAAAATGAATATTTCCTGAAAATAGAAATTGCTTACAAAATATATGAATTTTATACAATTTCTCTTTTAATAATTGTGTGTAATGTTTGTATTTCCTAGAAATTGATTGAAATTTGTATGAAAATATTATCTTACATTTTTAATTTTTGTCTTGTTATTTTAACTACAGGTACTTTTGAAACATTGTGTTTAAACTAGAGCATAAAATAATTTATATGATCTTGTTACGCTTAACTTAGAATTTTCAGTTAATACTAGTTTTAATTACATCCTTGAAATAACGAGTGGATTATAAAAATTATATTTAGCCATAGTATTATCATAAATTGCTATTATTTACTAGAATTAATTGTAAATTAAATATATAATTATATTTTGTGAGGTCAAATAAATATAGTACTTTTTTACTGAACTATTATTTATTTAATGAGATACAATTTTATGTTATTTTTAACGTACATGCCAACTGTGTTTATTACCATATTTCAATTTCAGAATATTTATTTTTATTATTAGACGTGTTTAGTAATATTTTCGTAAAATTTTACTTTTAACTTGGTTTATAAAAAATTATTGATTTTTTAAATTGAAAATATACAAAATACACATAAATTTTATTATTAAATCTATATTTTATAAATACATTCAATTATATGGAACACAAAATCTCATTTCTAGACAAATCTTTTAGAAATTTATGTCAAAATGTCTATACGTTTGAAATACACTTTAAATCTACATTAAATTTACTTTAAATCTTTATAGATCTTCTTATTATTGTTATAAACATTTTTAAATAACATAATTGTATTAAATATATAAATCTATATTGGTTAGCAACAGTTATTTTATAATATATTCAATTGCAATCCTATTTTATGTAAAGATTAGTTAAAACATACGTTATAGTAATTATCAAACCATTCATTATATTGTATTTCGATTGACATGTTTTCAGTGGTTGTCATTCACGGTTCACTCCATTGGTATACAATACAAATATTTTTTAAAAATAACAGTTTATTATTGTGTAAAATTTTATACCAATTTTTTACATTTAAATGAGAATATTGTGAATGAAAATTAAGAGTGATATTAAAGCAAATATTTATTTTATTCATATAAATATATTTTATTCAATAATACATTTTGTAAAAGTAAAGAATAATTATATTGAACTTTTCTTTTCTATTTCATATTGACTTTTAGTTTAGTTTTTAAAATTCAATTGAAGAATATATTTAAAATATTTTAATAATATATACTTATTGTGTATTAATATAATCATATTTATAATAATACAAAAAATATACTACAGTCAACTATCGATGCTGTCAACAGAATGGTTCCTGGGATTTGGTTGATAACATAGATTAGTTGACAACATAGAGATAATTTTAACATTAGGTCTATGTGGTAGGGATTTG